CACGGGGACACACTCAGACACATGCAGACACACAGATACATTCAAACGTACAGCCACACAGGGACACATTCAGACATACATGGACACATTCAGGCACACACAGATATACACAGACACACACAGACACTCAGATACACATACACACACATGGACACTCAGACACATACACAGACACACAGGGACACACAGATACACAGGCATAGCACACAGACATGGGGACATACACAGACATACACATAGAAACACAGACATAACAGACATACCATACACAGAGATAGACACACACAGCCTCAGAGATAAACATACACAGAGAGACACACAAACACATACACAGACATGAGGACACACACTCAGACACATGTGACACACAGACATACACACAGCACGTACACACAGAGACGCACAGGCAGACACATACACAGACTCACAGAGATAGACGCGCACACAGATAGAAGGACACACAGATGCACACAGAGACACAGGAAGCGTTTTTAATTGAAAAGGTCCTGGCAGGACACAGCACCCGCCTGCCCCTTACAGGAGGCCCGTCCTGGCTGTCCGTGTGGGTGCCGGGACCTGCTCGAGCCCCTGCAGTCTGGCGCGTTCACCTTCACCTGCTCCCTGTGATGTGCGCCAGAAGTGGGAGGAACACTCAGCTCTGCGCTGGTGACGGTCGCTGGTGCCCCACAGCTTTGCGCCCCTCTGCCGCGGCCCGGAGGGGGCGGTCGGGGGACTCTGGGCTTGCTGGGCTCTGGGGACGCTCGTCCCACCCGGCATTGCCCAGTGTTCATGGAGCATTGCAGCCCACGAGTGCCATGTCGTCTACTCTTTCCGAAGCACTTGGCCCATTTCTTACAATTTTAGCAATGAGCACTGAAGGCTTTAGGAAATTACTATGTTCTTTGCTCTTTCTGCCGTGTCTGAAGGTCGGTAATTGCACTGTACACTCTCAGAGCCCCCAGCATGCCCTGTAACAGAATGTTTGTTGAGTGACTATGTAAAATAAGTTTTGAGGCTGAGTGCAATTCCTGCTCACCGCTACTCTTGCAAAATAGCTGTATGGTTCAGAAAACTTGAAAAGACACTCACACTTTTCCTCTTGTAATGGTGTGACCCCTCCCCTTCCCCACAAGTGTGCACGGGTTTCTTGTGCTCTTAGAGAGATGGCCTGGAGTCAGTGCTCACATGTTTTCTGCCTTTTGAAGGAAAAGCGAGATGTCTATGAGAAAGAATGCAAATGCCTCGACTCCCTGAACTGCCAGACAATACGATTTTGCACGTACACAGAGCGACTTCTGCTGGTGGTGTTTTCTAGATGCTGGAAGGTATCGTAAAGTAGAACAACTATCTCTGCACACAGTGTGATTTTACTCTTGTTCAGGGCAGCAGCGATAGGAACATGATTTAAGTAGGATGAAGCTCTTCATGCTGGCTTCACTGGAGCAGCGGATGACTGGTCTTTGGCGACTGCTATCAGTTGTCAGGTCCCCGAATTCCCAAGATACTGCATGTGTGTGGGTGCACGTCCTAACTGTGTTAGTAACAAGCCACAGGACTGGGCATTTGTCTTTAAACTGTTGTCAGAAATTGGTGCTCACACTCTAGAATTCAAAAGGAAACTAGTATTTTTCACCTATGTAGATTACACTTTTAGATTGTTTTCCTTTTTCTTGCCTCTGTCACCGCGTTTGTTTCTGGGGATGCATTCTTTTCTTGTGACTGTATCCACGGATGCATCTAAGAAGAAAGAGAAGTGAAGTTACCATGGTTTGATAGTAACCTTTTAAATTTTTTTTCTGACTGGCTTAGTTAGCAAACCAATACAGTCTTAGCTGTAGGGTGTAATGCATTTTGGAGCAGATATTGAAAGTACACAATCTATCAAGGGGTGTCTACGATATAAACTTCTTCTTCTGCATAATAAGTTTTCAAATGTCAAACCTGACTGCCCATGCACAAGTAAGAAATGAGACAGTGAGAGGAGCTGTCTAGAGAATCCTACTTCAGAATCAGTGTGAAAACAAAAGTCCTTGGCAAATGCCCCTTGCTCGGTAGGTAGAGGGTGGCCCGTGACTGTTCCCAGTGATGGGGTGACCGCCGCCGTCTGACACTTGGCTGGACAGAATTCATTCTCGCCTGCGGGGCGATCCGCCCAGAGCTCTGGCAAGCGCTGGCACTGTGTTCCAGGTATACGACGACTGCGACTTCTCCCTGCTGTGGACAGAGGCCAGCAGCAACGGGCGGCTCTTTGCAGGCGGGGAGGTGCTGGCGGCGCACAGGGTCCTCGTCTGGACCAAGGACGGCCACAGCTACATCTATCAGCTGCTGGACAGGTGGGCACAGAGGAGGCGGGACCCAGCACGGTCAGGTAGAAAACGGACTTCGGGGAGGTTTATTATGGAACCCTCGCTTGCTGCCCGTGATCAAAAACCAGAACAAAACGGCTCTGGCACAAGGAGATTTACTGTGGGCCTGGCAGGCCCCCGGCTTTGTGCAGAGCAGCGGGGGACGGGGAATGAGATTAACCATGTATAACTCGTACAGCTGGTGCGCGGCGTCCAGAAAGTCACTTGTAATTATTAACCCGACAATTTCCAGCCAGAGTTTAGAAACTTGAATGGTGCCATCCGGCTTGTGAAAGTGGGAGGGGGAAGAAAATAAAGGACTGCACAGTTTTCAACTCTGCTTTTTATCTCTGCCGTGCAGCGGGCTTTCCAAAAGCAGCGGCCCAGCTGACGGGAGGCTGCTGAGAGAGACCATTTATCCACATTTGGTGTGCTCTGCCTCTGTGCAGGAAAACCAGGTAATGCGGGGAAAGAGGGCCTGCCCGCTCCACGTGCAGCTGAGCCTCCAGACCAGGCGGGCTTTGTCTGCGACAGGGTCAGCTGGAAAAGTTGGACTGAAGCATCAGTTCTGCTGATAACGAGAAAAGCAGCTCAATTGTTCATGGCTGCCGAGGAGGCACTGCTGTCCTAATTGTCTGTTGTTTCTAAGTTGGATTAACAAAGTAATGTCCGTCTACAATGGGAGGAATTACAAATTTTGAAGAAAATAAGGAGAAATTTAAAATTCTAATATCACCACCATAAATATTTATAGTGAATTTTAAAATTTTATTGTATGTATTTCTTCATTGTAGTTGAAAATTTTTCAACTATTTGGAAAAATTCTGCAATGTTAGAAGAGTGCAGTGATGGTCTATGTATCTGTTATGTAGATTCACCAATTAGTAACATTTCTGTCACATTAGCTGTTTGGAAAACTATTATAATAGTACCATGATCATTATGTATCCTTTATGTAGATTAACGACTTAGTAACATTTCTGTCACATTTATTCTATACCTGCAGCCCCAACACACATATGCACAAACACTGTTAACATTAGATGTATCCACTCCAATTTTGAAACTTCATGAAATAGTTTTTGTTGTAGTCAGGGTTTGCAGGGGAAACAATTTAATTCAGGGCACATAATTTATAAGATTATTTTATATTAGTCACCCAAAAGCCAAGTACAAAAGAGTACAGGAAATCTATCCACATGCTAAAGACCCAAAAAATCCAGCTGAGGGCCTGGATCCCACAGCAATGTCCTACATGAGTTCAGCTGAAGACCTAGAGCCCATGGCAATGCCTCATGCAGGCTGGTTTCACGGATTTGTGCCAGGAAGGCCCAAAGGTCAGTGGTGGAAGCTAGAGAGTCCATGCCAGTGGGATGAAGGATCTGTGCCAGCAGGCTGAGGGGTCTGCACTGGAGCCAGGAAGCGACACTCAAAGTAAGAACCAGAGCTCCCCCAAAGTGAACCGCAGCCATGATCAGCAACAGGTCCCGAGCTCCCCCAGTGGTGAGGACAGCCAAGTTCATCAGGAAGACCAGGGTGACAAACTTCTCCAGGAGAACCAACAGCCCGCACTTCTTCCTCTCCAGATCTCCTTTTCATGCTGCTGGCAACAGTCCTCAGGGGAACCTCCACACCCCGCACCACACTGGTTCAGTTCAGCTGGGTGTTACAAGTTGACCACCAGCTGTCATCCACCACAGTTTTTATCCTGAGTTTTTTTTTTAACTTCACCATATATTAAAATCATTTTCACATGTGCTTAGCTTTTCTTATGAGCAACTTTTCTTGTTAAAATAGATACAATTACGATTTCTGGCTGAGAGTGAGGAATATAATTTTGGGTTTATTGCCTGACTGAATTACACACTTGGACTCGAGGAAGTCTGAAAATCTAAGCAGGTGTTTTACGCAGTGGTGGGACTCACAGTGATTTTTTTAACCCTCTAGATGCAGTCATCAATTAATTATTGGAAAAGGTATTTCTCAGAGAAAGGATGAGTTTCTAATTATTAAGAAAGCACGCTACTTATTACAGAATGATTGTTTGCTTAATTAGGCAGAGTAGCTGTTGGAAATCCTGCAGTTCAGTAATTGTCCCTTCAGCGTATCAGTAAAATGTCCATTGCAAAAACTTGATTACGGCGCTGGCAGCCAACCATAGGCCAGGGCAGCGGCGTGTGTCGGGCTGTCCCTGAGCCACGCGTGGGCCTGGTTGGGCTGTTGACCACAGAGCAGTGCCCTGACCTCTGGGAAAGCATTTTCACTTTCAGGACCTGCTCTTTGCTGCTTCTAGCTCGGGGGAAGTTTTCCCAACACACAGTTTGCCTTAGAAGCCCGATGTAAGTCATGCCCTCTAGGACCTTCTAACCTACTACTGCAAATATCTGTATTATATGCACAACTCAAAAACAACTTAATTTCTTTCTCAGTGAGTTCATTATTGATGTACAAGAATGCTATTGGTTCTTGTGTGTTGATTTTGTATCCTACACTGATGGATTTGGTTATTAATTCTTGGAGTCAAGTTTTGGGGGTTCTCTACATCGAGGATCATGACATCTACAAATAATAATAATGTGACTTCCTAGTTTCCTGTGCATATCCTGTTTACTTCTTTTTGCCTGATTGCTCTTGCTAATATTTCTAGGACTGTGTTGAACAGGAGTGGTGAGAGTGGACATCCTTGTCTTGGTCCTGATTTTAGAGTGAAAGTTTTCAGTTTTTCCCCATTTAATATGATGTTGGCAGTAGATTTGCTGTAAATGAATGGATTTTTATTAGATTGTGATAAGGTCCTTCTACACCTCTTTTCTTCAGGGTTTTTTTGTTGTTGTTGTTCTTTTTGAGACAGGGTCCTGCTATGCAGTTCGGGCTGGCCTTGAGCTTACTTTGTAGCCCAGGCTGGTCTCAAACTCGCAACAATCCTCCTGCCTCAGCCTCCCATCTTTCAGAGTTTTTATCTTGGATAGATGTTGGATTTTGTCAAAGGCTTTTTCTGCATCTGTTCAGTTAATCATGTGAATTTTGTCCTTGCTTCGGCTAATGTGGTGGGTCACATTTATTGATTCATTTATGTTAAACCATCCCTGCAACCCTGGCATGAGTCCTCCTTAGTCATGGTGTATGATCTTTCTGATGACTTGTTGCATTCTGCTGCCAGTAGCTTGTTGACTTTTCCTATCTATGTTCATTAGAGAGATTAGCCTTTAGTTCTCTCTTTAGTTGCAGTCTCTGTCTGGTTTTGGAGTCAGGCTAACCTTAGATTCCAGGGATGACTTTAAGAGTACTCCTTCCCTTTCAATTTCATTATAGAACTTGACTAGTATTGGTGTTAGATCTTCCCTGAAGTTTTGCAGAGTTGCGCTGTGAATGCATCTGGGCCTGGGGTCTTCTTAGTTGGTAGTTTTTTGTTTTTTAATTACTACTTCTATTTTATTGCCTGTTACTGGATTATTCATGGTTCAGTTTTGGAAATTCATGTGTTTTCAGGAACCTATCCTCCAATTTATTGGCATATAGGTTTGTAAAGTAGTTAGTTGCTAATAATCTTCTGGATTTTGCCAGTGTGTCTGTTACGATTTCACCTTTTACATTTCTGTCTGCAATGATTTGGGTCTTTCCTTTGTTTGGTAAGATTGGTTAGGCTTTGTCTTGTTTATTCTTTTGAAAAACCAGATTTTCAATTCATTGTTCTTTGTAATGTTTTCTTTTAATCTCAATTTCATTGATTTCTGCTCTGATCTTTATGATTTCCTTCCTTGTACTAGCTTTGGGTTTGGGTTATTCTCATTTTTTTTAGATCTTGAATTGCATTGCTATGTTATTTGTTTAAGTTCAGTGAGAAAGAAATTTTGCAAAGAATACCATTCACAATATCAGAAATAAAAATTAAATACTGAGGAATTAACCTAACTAAGGAGGTGAAGGACCTCTGCCATGAAAACAGTACTCTGAAAAAGGAGATCCAAGAGAATAGATACTTATCCCAAGCACATTCAGAGGGACCAGAACACTGGAGGAAAGATAGCCTCTTTAATGAATGGTGCTGGGAAAACTGGCTATCCACATGCAGAAGATGGAATCTAGACCCATTTCTCTCACCATGTGCTAAACTAAAATCAAAATAGATGAAAGATCTAGATGTTAAAACAAATATTTAATCAGTTAGAAGATAAATTAGGTAAGTAAAACTCTTGAAGTCATAGGTGTAGGCAAGGACTTGTTGAACAGATCCTGCTTGCACAGGAAATAGTACCAAAAATTTTTAAAAATGGAATCATATCAAATTAAAGAGCCTCTGCACAACAACAACAATAAAAACAACCAGCAGAGTGTAGAGGCAATCTACAGAATGGGAAAAAATTTTGCCAGCCATTCCTCAAACAGAGGACTAACATCTAGAACATATAAAGAACTAAAAAAAATTAAATGCCCCAAATAAAAGACCCAGTCAAAAATGGGACAAGTGAAATGAATAGACACTTCTCAAGATGAAGCCAATGAATACATGAAGAAATGCTTAGCATCGCTGGCCATTAGAGAAGTTCAGATGAAAGCAACAGTGAGACTCCATGTTACTCAGAAAGAATGGCCATCATCCAGAAATCGGATGATGACAAATGCTGTCCAGGGTGCAGGACATAGGACTCTGCACTGTGGGTGGGATGTAATCTAGTACAACCACTAGGGAAGGCAGTAAGGAGATTCCTCAGCAAACTAAAATAAACATTTCATTTGACTCAGCTATTCCCTTTCTAGATATCTTCCCAAATGCAGTAAAGACATTATGTTACAGTGATCCGTGTGTACCTGATATAGGAGCACAATTTAAGTAGCTAGGTCTTGGAAGCAGCCTGTATGTCCATCAGCAAATAAATGGATAAAGAAAATACGGTATTTACACACCATGGAGCATATAAAGAAGGATAGACATGAGTCATATTTAGGACGATGGATAAACCTTGAGACCATAATGTCAGGTGAAATAGATCAGACTCATATACTTAAATATCCCACAGTGCCTCTTACGTGAGGACCCCAAAGTACTGTATAATAAAGAGCAAAATAGAAGATTATAGGAAGTAGGGACACAAGTCATTCTGTGATGGGAAGAAGATCTAGAGGTGAAGCAAGCAAGGAGGAAGGGGCAGGAGAGGGGATGGGAGGAAGAACTGAGATGTGTTACGCGCAACACAGCCACCACCTTCCCACGAGGCAGGGAAACACCGTGCACCGCAAACATGGACCCAGGACAAAACTTAAAACCAAATAAATGAAAAGGAGCCTTAAACACAAACAGGAAGTTTCTTTGTTTCTCAGCATGTGAAGCCGTCCATTTAGGGCCTTCTATCAGTAATTCTTATTCAAGCAACCACAGATGTTTTGGGTCTTAAAGGCGTGAAGTGCCCAGAGGCAATGAGCGGGATCCCAGCGGTGTGAGCTGGAAGAAAGGCTGTGTCTTCTCCGCCTTTGCTTCCCTTCCCCGCCACTCAGCGCCGGGAGCTCTGCGCTCAGTGTCCACCATGCTCTGAATGGCAGCCTCTGCAGTAGCAGCTACAGTCGCGTCTGCGAGATTGGCAGGACCTAGAGAGAGACACAGGAGGTGGAACACGTTCGGACGTGGAACTGAGCTGTGCCTTGCGCTCATTCTTGGGGACGCAGAGGCCGCCTCTCAAACCTGGGCTTTGCGTCTTATCTCGCTGCCCAGCTCTCTCACCGCGGCGATGCCAGTGCTCACTTCCCAGCTCCGCTGTGCAGATGACGTGCGCTCACTGCTCAGTTCTTCATACCCTCTGAAAATACACTGCCGAGATGTCCACTCCTGCCCTTCTGTCTGCACCAAAAAGCGAGTGTTTTTTGTCAAGGAGCCACCCCTTTCTTAGGCTTCTTTAGTTCTGGCACCACCAGTTGGCATTCCTTATAGAATGCCTTTTATTTGTACATGAAAAAAGGGCTTGGTTTTGTTTTTCTGATCACTGAATCGTTCTGACCCCCGTGCACGCGTGCGTAATCTCCCTGGGAGCCTGACCAGGGGCAGCTGCCTCTCCTACACTGAGTTCACCAGCGGGCCCCTCACCATGTCTGCATAGACACTGCCTTGTGGAATCACAAGTGCAGTTTACATGCACTACACACAGCGTCACGCGTAGTACAGATCAGATGGTGTGTGGACTGCGTAACATAGATGTCGTGAGCTGCTGCTCTCTGTGTCCCCGTGAGGAAATCAGCCCTCACTCCAGGCTCCTCATCTGTGCAAGGCAGTGACGGTACCAATGGCGTGGGACTGTCCTCAGGATTATATACCCATGCATGTGTGAAGCCGCCATGGGTGACGTGTACACAAAGCTGTGCAGCAATGCGCAGAGCACAGCCGAGAAGCGAGACATGCCCTTACCCACTCTGAAGTGTTGCTGATGGCTTTACTTTCAGTTTTGTTTTTGTTTTTCTTCCGGTACCAGGAATTGAACTCACGACCTCGCGCTTGCCAGGTAGGCGCTGTGCCGCTGAGCTAAATCCCGAGCCCCTGCTTTCAGTTTTATGAAGGCATTTTGTTCAGAATCACTGGTCATTTCCTTTAGTTCACATGAAACTTTTGAAACAATGGGAAATAAATGGAAAAGACGGGGTTCAGCTACGAAGGTCTCACTCCTCTGTTTGAAGTCAACAGCTGTCTCCTCTAAGTCACAATGCTCCCTACCTCAAAGCTTGCCTTTGCTTTGCAGAACCTGTCCTTTGTCATGGGCTACATGAACGAAAGGAAGGAACCTTTCTACAAGGTGCTGTTCTCCGGAGACGTGTCAGGGAGGATTACTTTGTGGCACATCCCTGATGTTCCCGTAACCAAGTTCGATGGTTCTCCTAAAGGTAGGAGGTTTCCATTTCTAGTCACACCTTTCTGAGAACTGGTTTATAATTCAGTGCTGTGCCAACTTCCTTAACATGGGCCTTGAGACAAGAAGGTTTTTTTCTCACATGTACTACTGTGTGTTAGATGCCAACATACAAGGTTTGAACAGAAAATATGGTGAATGTTTCAACTAAAAAAATTGTATTACTGTAGAATACACAGTGCCGTGAATCCCCCTCAGAACGCTCCTGCTTGCTCACCCCATCATTCTTGCCACTTGCTGAGGCAGTTCTGAAAGTCCTCTTTCCTGAGTGTCTCTACAAGGTGCAAGCAAAATGCAGAGAACAATGCTGCTGAGTGCCATTCAGCAGAAAGTGAGGCTCCTGAAAACAACTAAGAGGCGTTATGTGTGTGTACCAGCTCCCCAGGGTGAGCGGGGTCGTTGTGTACCGCAGACATGTACTAATCTAAGGTTAAAAGTTACAGCGTGTCCTCACCCACCTTCTTCACCAGACCTAATGCCGTGCAACTTACGGCTCTTCCCCGGAGCCACAGTGACTGGGAAAGGGAGACATTCTGAAGCATTTCAGGCTGTCAAGGCAGCCAGGACCCTACAACCAAAGACACTCAGGAAAGAGTGAGAGAGGGATGACACAGGACCTCCATATAATCCAAATGTAGATGGGAAATATAACCCCATCAGGGCAGCCTACTGGATATCAGATCTGCTAGATGTCTAATATGCTGAGTTCGTGTTCTCTGAAATCAAAGAATGACTTGTAGGGACAATGGAGGGTGAGAGTAGGAAGTATTTACTGAGAGAAAGAAAGCTCGTAAGAGAGACAGAAGAGGACCCAAGTGGGTGGCCTGGTGAACCCTCTTCTCAAGGGAGTTTTATGGAGTAAAACCATGAGGTGAGGCAGGTTGAGGTGGGACAAAACTGTGGTCAACCAGTGTGCAGGTATAATCATTAGGTAATCTTGATTAAATGGGGATCAAATGGGGAAGCAAATCGCATAGCCTACAAGGAGGGAGCAAGGACGTCCTGGGAAGGAATGGGCTCGTGAGATTTTGGTCCCCCACCAAGGCAATAGATGCCTGTTTAGAATATCAGTCACTGCTTTTGTATGTGGGTGCAGTCATTTCTCTTTGTCTAAAGCCTGACCTTTAAAGAATGCACCTCCAGCCACAGTTGTCTTCTGCACTGACCTCTCAAGGGCCCAACTCTGTCTGACTGCCTATATTTCTAAGTAACTTAGCTACCTATGATACTTTACTGTGATAATTTTTTTTTTAAGTTTAGGCATTCACTGTATTTTTCAATCACACCTCTTAAAAGCAGGCACAAATGTGAGGCTTACAGGCCAATTCACAAGGGATGGGTGCTGGCCGTGTGCATCTGGATTCAGTTCTTACACCATGATGTCTCAATTCCGTTGTTCCTATTATAAACTGATAACCCAAAACTCCCCCTTTTTGTATGTTTTCCATCTAGAGATACCGATCACTACCACCTGGACCCTTCAAGATAATTTTGACAGGCATCAAACGGTGTCACAGAGTATCCTTGAGCATTTCTCTGGGTTTGGAGGTGAGGCGGGAGCTGAGGCCATCACAGCGTCAGAGTATGTCCCCAGCCTGGACAAACTCATCTGTGGCTGCGAAGACGGGACCATCCTCATCACACAGGCTCTGAATGCCGCCCAGGCAGGCCTCCTGGACGTTGGTTCTGTGCCGAAAGGTGATTGGACTCTATTGGGCCTCATGTACTTAGTGTGTCCCAGCATGACTCTCAGGCTGCACCAAAGAACATTTAGAGCCTCAGGGACTGTGAGTGTTTGCTGACAAGTTTGTACATGTTTTAATATTAAAGCAAAGCTTACACAGAGTGCTGGGGCAGAAAGTCATACAATGAGAAATACCTCTGTCCTTACTGAGCTTCCACTTTTATCGGAGGCAACTGTGAATAACAATTTGTTTGTACCCTGCTTGAAATTTCCCATGTACACACAAGTACAAACAAGTATAATGGTATGCATGGTTGTAATTTTAATACATAATGTAAGCTTATCCCATACACTTTGCTAAGATGTCTTTAAAGAAATTTTAATAAAGTATTTTGATGTTCATTCTTTATAAGCATATTTTAAATGATTAATAATCATCAAATTTAAATTTAAAAATCTCATTCATTGGTGTTTATCTTTCATATCTTTATGTGCATTAGACAGTACAGGATTGTATATCCTTATACATATACATAGGTATATCTGGAGTACTTATCCCCAGGAGTACAATTACTGGATCAACATTTGTTTTTAGTTTTAGTTTAGGAAATATGTCTAAATGGTTCTGTAAAGCTGGGCGTGGTGGCACACACCTATAATCTCAGTACTCTGGAGGCTGAGGCAGGAGGATTTCTGTGAATTCAAGGCCCCCCTGGCAATACAGTTAGTTCAAGGCCAGCCTGAACTGCAGAATGAGACCCTGTATCAAAAAGACAAAAGGCTCTGTAAAATACTTGCATCCACAGATGCGCATGCCAGCAGTAGCTTAGACAAATTGCCTTTGCCCTCAAACCTTTGCCCACTTGGTGTGCTGTTTAGGTTTAAAATCTTTGCCAATTGAGAAAGAATGTCTTCCTGTTCTAATTTTTCTTTGTTAATGAAGTCTATACGTCTGCTTATGTCTTTGTGCACTGTTACAGCGAATACTTAAATGCTGTTATGCAGTAAGTTGCCTGTATGAATGGAGGAAGACAGAGGGGATCGGGGTTCTCGATTGTATGGAGAAGGCTGTACACTGTTGTCAAAATCAGTCATTCCTGTTAGGAGGTGAGACCTCAGAGCAGTCTAAACCTTCTCGGGGCGGGCTCAGGCCGCTGCTGCTCTGGGCTCACTTGGCCATGTCCTGAAAGTGCCTGACGTGTGACTCAGGGACACCTGGGAACAGAGGGCCGTGAGCAAGTCGTAGGTGCTGTCCACAGCCAAAGGCTGCTGTGAGATGGTGGTGAAAATCCAAGACTGCGGCATTTCCTCTGGGCCGCCTTATCTTAGTATCTGGGGGAAGACAGCAGAAACTTAGGCTTGACCTGCAGCAGCTGAGTTCTTGTTAATATTCCTCATGATTTGCTGGGGAATGAAAGAATGTGCCTTATGGAGTGACTAAGGTGAGTCACAGGTTTGGGCATCCCTTTTCAGTTCGAACGAAGGGAAGTTGTAGCTCAGGATCCTGCGCTTTCCAAGGAGTTCAGGCCACCATGGGGCGGGGGGAGAAGGCGTGGAAAGAAGAAGACAGTGGCCAGCATGCTGTGTTAGCACAGACGGGCTCTGGAGTGCCCACGAGGCTGCTGTGTGCCCCGCACGGTGCTGGGAAACGGTGGCTGAGGAAAGGGTGCTCTTCCCTGACCTTTCAGAAGCGTACCTGCAGGTGGAGGGATGTGAGTGCGGCCCACCTCTAGGCAGCAGCTCTATGCCCCTAAACGTTTTTCTTGGTTTCTGACACTTGGAATTCACAGCAGCCTGTCCGAGCCTCACACACTTTATCTGTGCAACCAAGAAGTAGAGCTCGGTAATCTCCAGCGCGTTTTGAAGTGAAATGTCCTTCGGCTGGGCTTGACCTCATCACAGTAATGTAAAAGGACTAATAATCTAGCTGCCTTTGCGGAGCAGAGATACTCTTGTTCATTCCTTTAGGACGGTGCTGCTTCATGGTACAAGAGTTGGTAGCTTACTACATCTATATAGGATTTGTAGGCATGAACAACCAACTTGAGTGCTGTATCCAGACCCACATCTGGCTGCTGATGAGGAGCTTGCCCTCCATGACGGTCTAAAGAGTGCCCTCGAATTGTTTTAGCCAAGGGCATGCTTACATTAAAAATATAGAGAAGAAAATTTCAGAGTTCTTTCCTGAACAAAGTAACTTTTGCACTATGTGTTGTTGGATTGTTTTCCAGATTCTCCCTCTCACAAAGTCCTTAAAGGCCACCAACAAAGTGTGACTTCATTACTGTACCCTCACGGTCTCTCTTCAAAGTCGGACCAACGTTGGCTGGTGTCAGGGGACCAGAGCTCCTGCGTCATCCTGTGGGACATCTTTACTGAAGAAGCCCTGCATAAGTTCTTTTTGGAAGCTGGTCCAGTAATGAGCCTTTTGATGTCACCAGAGAACTTCAGAGTAAGTTAAAAAGAAAAAACACACAATCTGAGAGTTATGTAACATTGCGAGATATTTTCAAAAGAAGGAAAAATGGCCCATATTCGCAGTGGAAAAAAAGGTTCTGTGTATCCATACAATAACTGATGACTCTTTGCATGTTCATTTTTCCAAGTATTTCTACTCATTTTTTTCTTTAAATCTCTATAGTAATGTTTTAAAAGTAAAATAGATAATGCAAAAACAAGTCGAACAATGTACAAATCTAGAAATAGAAATTAATTTGTGCCTTCAACAATTTCCTTTTATAATACTGGTAAGCAGTTACATTGTTTTTCATGAATTTTTATTTATTTATTTCTTTAAATACTTACTGAGCTTCAACAAATTTATGGACACCTACTTTGTGTTAGGTGAAATGAAATAGTTCTGGGTATAATTTTCTCATGAAATGTCAATTTAAATTCTGCCTATAGAGACCTAATGTCTTTGTTAAATATGAACAACCAACTTTTGCATTTCCTATGTAAGATAAGCATGGGGTAATACAAGTCAAGTGATTTTATAAAATAGTTGATTGGTTTATAATGTTATTTCTCTATAATATTATGAAAAAAATCAGCTCTAAATTAGACATGGAGAAAATTTAAGACACAGGAAGCAATATTTTAGCAACACAGGTGATTAAACAAAACAGTGAAACTAAAGTGAGTGTAAAACAGAACTTCCCTGTGGTGATTTGGAACACCTTGACATATGTGTAGTTCTTGAGATTCTCCTTTTTCTTGCTTTAGTCATCATCTTCCCTTCAGCTACAGGGTGGGCATCTATCGTTTTCACCCTCGCAGTCACAGGTGATTTAACACGGAGTGAAGCTCATTCACACCAGCTCCCACACAGGATCATTACTGGCAGAGTAGCGTAGCAATCCCCCTGACGTCTGGGACAAACCTCTACAGCAAGAGCTCAGAGGACTTGGAGAAGCCACGGTCCCCTAGGCACAAAGAGGGTGCGTCTCTGTGATCATTCCCTTCTCTTGCTTCTTCCTAAGAATCCATCTTCCAGCTGCCTGGACTGGACTGGCTTGCTCAGTCAGGGTTTGCGTGTGCGTGTGTGCGCGTGTGCACACTTTCCTGGAGCTGTGGAATGGCTGGGTTCTCCAAGGCCTGGGGCAACCAGGAGAAATAGCTTCACAAGCCCACAAGCCCAGGCCACGTGTGTCTTCCCCTCACCATATTTAAATGTGTCACCTCAGGATTTCTGTAGTCTCCTTGAAAAGAATGGGGAAAGAAAACACATGCCCCTTAGCTCCACAGAGGCTAATGTGGGCCCAAGAAGAAGATCTGAAAAGCTCAGCAATTCTTTCCACACGCGCCTGGACCTCCTGGAGGGCCCACAGCCCCTGCATGCCTGGCCACATCCTAACCCGTGGTCAAGGTGAGCGCACTGACTTTTCACGAAGGGTCTTAAATACTATGATCCTGTGAGGATATTTTTGGCCCTTGCATCTTTGAGGTTGTGCATGCAGATGGAGTTATCTAATGCCTGCCTCTTTTAGACTGTGTCTACACTGAGTTTACTGTTTGGATTAGAATCGGTATAGTTCTGGGAACGGCACCAAATCACATCCTGAGGCTTTAAGTGGAAACTCTCAGCTCCGACACCCTTGGGCCTAAGCTTGTGTCTACAAATAGCTTCACCCTGTGGCAGCAAATTAGTTCTGGGGTTTGTTTTATTCTCTGTTGTTTCCGATGTCTGTCTCCTCACTGCCTGAATTTACTGGGTGATGCGAAGTTTTTCACTTATCCGCCAAGGAGATCTGGTCCTCTTTTCTTGCCTGTCATGACCTTGCCGTAGAGTTGAGTTTAAACTCTGTCCCGTGTCTGAAGCTCCTCCGCAGAGGGTTATTGGAAACCGTTCTGCAGAAACGCACTTCAGTAAATGGGCCGTAAGAAAATGCTTTACGTTGCCAAGGAAAGGCAGGTGATTTAGTCCTAAAGAAAACACTCACCTACTTACTTATGCAGGGGTTGCTGTCTCCCAGCTGCAGGGCGACCGGACGGTGTGCTGTGTGTGCGGCGACCACTCGGTGGCCCTCCTGCACTTGGAGGAGAAGAGGCCCCTCCTGCGCGCCCGGAAGCACCTTTTCCCCGTGACCGCCATCAAATGGCACCCAGTGGAGAACTTTCTGATTGTTGGGTGTGCTGATGACTCTGCCTACATCTGGGAAATTGAAACAGGTGAGCCAGAATTTTACCCATTTTCATCCTTCGTGTACTGATGACGGGTGAGTGTTTGGCCAGGCAGAGAGGAAGTCCAGAGAGGACGCCCTGTCGGCCCCTTGGGCCCAGCCCTCGGGTGTGCTGCCCTGCTGTGCAAAGGACAGCACCGGCCAGCTCAGGTCCTGACCGCTGCCGATGGGCTGACGGGGCAGTGCTCAGGAATGGACCGGATATTTCTGGAAGCTATAAATAAAAACAGAAGTTATCTACTTTAATTATTAACAAGAGAGAGATTTAGTGTCCTACTGGTCTCAAATTATCGTTACATTCTGCCTTCTTCAGCATACTCATCATCTCAGCAACATTTTGAGCTAATTGATGATCAGTAATAATGGAATATAATTAATTCTAAAACTCCAAAAAGTTGAGTCAGGGAAACTGAAAGCAGAGTGGCTCACTGGAACTTTTGACATTGTGCCACAGAGAATGTTTGAACTTGAAAGGGTGTTTGAAAAGTTTCCCTGCTCAACTAAAGATTAACAGTGACGCATTTCAGAAAGCGCTGGGACGAAATCAAGCCAGGCGTGGTGACCAGCGAGTGAGGGTCGAGTTCACCGAGAGTCCATTTCTCTGGGAACCTTGCATGACGTATTGATTAAGCCGTGGTGGTTTTCTGTTGACTGCTACCACCATACCAGGTATTTTATAATACCAGAGTTTACAGGCCGGCCCCACTAAAATAACTGCTCCATGCTTTGCCTTGGCCGTTGGGTGTTAATGATGACTGATGTGCCCGAGTTCTCTGGGTCTCGCACGGGGACTCAGTTTGCTGCTCTGACAGCTTCCGTGCCCGCCAGCTAGGGCCAGGCAGGGGAGACAGAGGCCGCCATTTCCTTTGAGAGGAAGGGCAGCCTGACGAGGAAGTGTGTGAGACTGTACAGCTGGCAGGTGCTGACCCGGGGAGGGCTCACTGGTTTTCACACAGTGCACCCCAGTTTGGAAGAGTCATAGAACTTTGGGGTCTGGCTGGCAGCTGGGTATAGTAACGAAGTCAGTGCTGGAGCTGGGGGTTGTCCCAGGACCTTGCATGAGCCGGAGTTCCTCGGCCTGTTGTGTGTCTGTAGAACGGGCCCACTCCTCCTTCCGGTGAGGACTTCGGGAGCCGGCGCTGGGAGCGGGGTCTGTAGGTCCAGAGCCATTGGTCACAGGTAGCTGTGGTGTTACTGTCCACAAACTCAGCCAGGTGTTGACTTCTGCTGTGGAATCTGAGTGTGTGAAACACATCAACTCACCAATGTGGACAACTGCTGTAAAAACGGAATTTGTGGTGACCGAGCATACAGATCAGTGATGGCAAACTGCTTAGAGACGAACGCCCGAACTGCAACCCCAACACTGCTATGAAAACTGAGCACTGAGGTTCTAGTTCAGGAAGAACAACTGCTACTGGGCGACATGGCTTTGTGCAGATGGAAAGGGCTGTCGGCGCGCCCATGGTGGCACCTGTGCCGTAGGCTTCCGCCGCTGCTGTAGATAACGGAATCCAGCAAGAGCAGAGAAGGGCCTGGGCCTTCCAGAACACCTCCGGCCCTCACTTGTTATTGGGGCCACAGGAGGGGGAGGAAGGGCGTTGACCCCCTGGTGACTCTTGAGATCGTATTTACCCTCTTCTGTTTTATTTCTGTGAATTCTCTTTATACCCCCAAATACATAACCAAATGTTGTAGAACATTGGAGAAAAAAAAGAAACGTGAAGAAAAACAAACCAGCCTTTCCACTGCCTGGACATAAACACTGTACACATTTTGATCTACTCTCTGTTGGAATTATTCCCGTGCTGATACATAGACATCGACACTGTCTTTCGGTCGTGGTCCTGGCAGGACGTGGACTCCAGCTCCAAGGAGTCTTGAGCAGAGACTTCACTGAGGGGAGGGTTTGCGAGGTCACAGGGAGGGCTGAGGGGAGAGGGCAGCCCGGGGGTACCGTCCCAGCACCCAGGCACGGGGCCATCTGCAGCTCTTTCCCTGGGGGCCGAGGCTGTCGAGAGAGGATATACTTGCTGCCCGTGAGAGCTGATGTGCAGCGGCACGAGTCCCCCCTGAAGTCAGGGAGGGAGCAGCCCCACAGATACGCAGGGATTTGCTTCCGTTCACCCAGGGCCACTAGGAGTCGGAGGGGAGGCTGTAGCCCTAGGGTTCAGCCTCACTGTGACAGAGCAGGACACCCAGGGGGAGACTGGGGCTGGCGAGTGGACAGGGCTCATCTTGTGGCCATTCTGGGTGCTTCCACAGTCCCCTAGTGGGCCGTGTTAGTCGCTTCCTGTTGCAGGGTCTGTGTCAGGATGACCATGTCCGATACCGACGCACGTTTAGCACCGCACTCACCCAGGGGGTTGGTTTCGAGTGAGGCCGTTCTCCTTCCATTTGCTGCCTTGGGGGTGTGGAGGCAGCTCGGCCTGGATGGACGTGACGTCGCTGCCGCGCAACTCGCCATGGTGTGGCAGTGGTCCCTTCCAAGGCCCTTTGCTGGCTGTCCCCAGTGAGTGTGGCGGCACCCTGTGGTGGCCGAGGCCACCTGTGGGCAAGTTCCTGTGGCTCCTTGCAGTCTTATGTCTGGCACTGGCTTTGTCCTGGGTTCCTTTTAATTTTGGCACTTCTCATTTTGCTTAAAATTGAGAAACCTACTTTCTCTTTCCCACTCTGGATTTGCGAGGGCCAGGATGGCTCTGGGATGTTTCCAGTGTATGGCCTTCACTTTATCCCTTCCCCGTGGAAAAGTCTGGGAATGGAAGCTTTCCTGTTTACATTTCCCTAAGCTTGGGGGAAATGCAGTACCAGCGCTGAGTGACACGGGCTGCAGCATCTAAGGTGACCGGCCCTGTTCACTGGGCCTGCATGGGAGAGGTGACACGGACGAGCCCGAGGGTCTGTGGGCCTCAGGGATTGGGATACATGACTCCTCTGACTGCTGGGCAGCTGTGGGGCTCAGATCCCTGCTGCCCACCAGAAGTGGGTTCTCCCTGGGGCTTTGCGTCTGGGCTTTGCTTGCAGCTGTTCCTTCCCGAGGCCCGAACGGAGCTCCGGAGGGGAAGAGCCGTTCCTGGTTCTGTTTCTCCAGCGCACCGCCACTCTGCGCACCTGCAGGAGTGAGCTGGCGGGAAGTGAGCTATCAGGTCTTTCTTTACTAGAACAACCCAGGGAGAAGATGGGAGCTACCGGGGGGTGGGGGGGAGTTTGGGGGAAGAGTCTGGGGAAAGGCCCAGAAAGAAATGGCCAGGGGAGAGGATTGAAGCCAAAATAAGGAATTTTCCCCTGTGCCGAAGGACCCTTGGGGGAAGCTGGGGAACATTCGTGGTGGTGCTGGGGAGGATCAGTGCCTCTGCTGCCCTCGGGTCGGGACAGCAGGCCCCTTTCACGGCTCACAGACCCGTACCACAGCCTCCTCTCACAGGCTCTGCAACTCTGTGCAGCCCCCACCCGCCCCGCGCTGTCATATCTGGAGGGTCGGCGCCCTCCCTGAGCCGGGGCACAGTTGTGTGGGCGGGAAAGCACAGTGGAGCCCGGGGAACGAGACCAGCGCCCACCCAGGTCAGGAGGAATCCCAGTCTGGAGGGCCTGGCCTGCCTAAAATGGCAGCCCTGGCGCCAGAGGGGCAAGGGCAGTGGCGTGTGTGGGCGTCTGCTGAATGCCTAGACGTCGGGCTGGTGAGGAGGGGAAGGCGCCGCACCGGTGGGGCTCGCAGTGGGCTCCTGTGTGCTTGGTGCGCACAGCTCTGCGGCCCCGTCAGCCTGGCTGCTTCGACACTGTCGGGTACCGGAGCACTGATTCCCCCTAAAGCCCATGGCCAGCCTCAAACAAATACTCATTTGCAAATGAGTTTTGAAATAATCCTGGGGACCTTTGTGTTCATGCTAGTGGATTTATGTAGCAGAACATTTGTATAATGAATTTTTTGTGTATTGAAATAACTGCTATGATTGAATTTTTTTATTAGGCCAATGGTCTGTGTCATGAAATATAGCTTAGTAAATAACTGGATTTTTTTAACAACTGGATTTGTAAGGAAATGAAATCTTATTTGTTTGAAAATAAAACTTTCCTGTTTAAGATGTTCAGGAAAACTTTTCTCTGTACATAGAGGATAGAAAATGTGTTCATCCTTGTGGACTGTCATCTTCACTGCCGCCTTCTCAGCTGTGCTGTGATGGTTGAAGAGAAGCCATGGGTAAATCCCTTAAGGACTAGAGGGCTGCATTCCAATAAAGCTTTATTCCGAGACACAGGCGGCAGGGAGCTCTGGTTTGCAGACCCCTGAGAATGACGACTGCTGTTTTTGAAGGTCGTGTGTGTGTTGTGCGTATACCAACCTGCAGAAGAGGAAATCAATTGCATGATTGCACAACAATGTGGATGTTTTTAGTACAGAATCATACACTAAAAAAACACAAAACAAACAAGCAAGTACATAAAAATCATTGTTGCCATGACAGCTCCTTCTTGTGTAGGCATCATTCTCAGTGCCTGTGTGTGCTGGGCGGGGCAGGACAGGACAGGCGGGCTGCCCCGTGAGGAAGGGCCGGGACATCCTGTGAGGGTGAGGTCCCTGGCTACTGTCGCCCCTCTTCCCTCTCTGGTGCAATCCCCATTTCCAGCACAGCAGGAGTGTCTCCGCAGGTGGGAGCAGCAGGACCTGGAGAGAGGATTTGTCTGCGGGTCCTGCAACCAGCTCTGCATAAGGGAAGGTCGCAGCGTCTCTTGGAGCTGCCTCTGTGGCCTGGCCCCTCCAAAGCAGATGGGCGCCATGCAAAACAGTGACACAAGTGCCATGTGGCAGCCTGTCCTCAGGAATTCAGAAGTAAAATGATAATGGACTTCAGAGTACACATCTTGTATATGGACTCCCCTATACAATGTGTTTTTCCTCTTGAAATCAGTAATAGTTAGCTAGAAATTTATTTAATCAGTGATGTCATATAATGAAGCACTTGTTTTCTCATGGTTTCAAAGTTGAGTCTC